GCCCCTCGCAGCTCCCTCGCCATGCCACGCTGCCTCATCGCCATTCGTGGCATGCTCGCAGCTGCCTCCCGCACGTCGCGCAGCCTCATCGTCACCTACAGCCATGCCTCCTAGGAGCGAGCTCGCCGGCGTTGGGGACGCGGTCCTCCCTGCTTAGCGCCGCCTATGCCCCTGCTTAGCCACCTCCTCTCCTCGCACGTCCGCCTACCGCCGCTATTCCTCTACTACTTTGTCACCGTCGCCGCCCAGGCCCCTCGCCCACTGCTGCCATCATGGGTGACCTGACTCTTCGCTCACGAAGTCCAGATGTTTCGTGTATTTGTTTCATTTGTTCGTTTCTCTTGTTGTGGCTTTTGTTCATTTTTCTAGGATTTCTATTCTAATTTTTGCTTGCCCCTCTATAGGATATGTGATCTTTCAATGTTTGATTTTGCATGTTGCGATGGTTGATTTGAGATGTTAAAGTGAGAATTGGTGTTGCCATGGGGGTATCCTTCTTCCTCGATGGCTGACTTCGTGAAGGCAATGCTTTCATGTTGCAGCTGAATGAATTTGATGTTGCAGTAGCTTTTGTTCTGATGTTGTAACAAGTAATATTCATTTGTTACATTAGTCTTTTTTTTGTTGTTGCATTAGTTATTATCGGTTGTTTCAATAGCTGGATTACAAAGTCTACCTCTTATAGGAAAAAAGGAATTCTGATCGAATGTTGTAGCATGAAACATCTCCGTTTGTTCCTGAAGAAATGCATTTTTTGTTAGAATCTCAGGGGATCAGATGATGTTATTCTTATCATATATTTCTCGTTGTTGCAAACGATAACTTCTTATGTTTCATCCCGCATTGCTCCGTGTTGCAAAGTCATTTTTTGGTCAGATCACTTGTGACATGCGGATCCTCCAAGCCACCATGGCACCCATCGTTGAGTGCACAGGCCTCACCGTCATCAAACCATCCGCTGTCCGCCGGATCCTTTGTCGCGCTCTCTGACAGTTGCGCATCTCGAGCACTGGCGCGAGTCGCGAGGCGAGTCCCTTCACCTCTGTGCTGTAGGCAACATCCGCTGCCAATCTCGTCGGCTCAGTGCTGGCATCGATGGTGTGGGGGTATGGCCCCCGGTATCCTCAAGACAAGACATGGGCCGCACCATCAGAGGTGGCCCCGCCCATAAGATCGAGGCGTGCACGACAAGATTACAAGTTGTACTAGATATTGTAATAGTACAAAATATGATACTTTACTTGTAACTCTCCTCCTCCAGACTATATAAGGAGAGACAGGGGTTCCCCTCAGAGAGGACAATAGGATCTCTAACAGACCTCAATCAATACAGAATAATGAGACACAGGACGTAGGTATTACGCCAACACGGCGGCCGAACCTATATAAATCTTGTGTCTTGTGCCTCTGTAACCATCTGGTTCCTGATTACGCGCACCGTCTACCGACAATCTACCATCATGGGCATACCCCTAGATGGACTGCCGACCATATTTCATCGACAGTGGCGCGCTAGGTAGGGGTCCCCTTTTAGGGGTTGTGTGTGCTGATCTTCCAACGAATCAGATGGCGATTTTCTTCATCAACATCATCCATGGCAACCTGACTTCCTGCAGCGGCGTGCTTCAATAGCCTGACAGGCTCGATATCCCTCAGCTCGAGCGCTCCACCTACAACGGCGACGAGCGACACCTCAGCTCTCCATATCCAATCACGGGACAACAAACTACACGATGGCGTGACTCTCATCCTCCTCCGATCGGTCCCACTTGGCTTCGCCAAACACGCCGAGCTGCATCCGCACGGGAATACAGGAATCCTACTCCGACCGGACATGCATAGGAGTCCTGCTCCAGTTCGATACGTGCATAATGATTGGTGATTACTATCGGGCCTAGCTGCCTAAAAAATAATCCCAGCCAAGCATACGTCTAGTCTACTCTATAGCACCATGAAGATTCGGCCAGAGCATCGTTCCGTCACGAGCAAACAAGAAGAATGTATGGGGCCATGCAAGATATTTAACCAAGGCAAAATTCGCACGTCCGTGCATGCATGACATGTTGTACGCCCGAATTTAGCCCAAGTGCCCAGACGACGAGATCTCATCGGTCAGCAAGCAAATCAATAAGGATCGCCATGCATGCACGCGGGAGGAAGACCTTGGACTACGCCTCGCCTTGTCGGACACGGGCTTCGCCTCCCTAAGCTGGGTAACTCTGTCAGCCTCCGACTACGCTTGGCCGACTACAACTCCGACTCTGCTCACCCGTACGACTGCATCGAGCCACCAAGTGAGCGCCTGAGCCATTAAGCGAGCCGACCACGTCGACCACAGACAACGTTGACCACGTCCCGAGGGACCACCAGACCACGTCGACCAGCCGAGCTCCAACCACCAGACCACCAGACCATGTCTCGAGCGGCTCTGTCGAGCTCCGACCACCAGACCACGTCCCGAGCGGCTCCGCCGAGCTCCGACCACCTCGACCACCAGACCACGTTGCAATGATGATCGCCACAAAGCACGACGCTATGACAACCGCGACCACCGTCATGACGACGGGTCGGAAAGCTCGAGGACCAGACGACTTCATCGCCATCAACCAGATTTCTATCCAAAGATAAGTACACTTCTAATATTTATATTTAATACAATTTTCATTACGACGTTTCTCCACAACGTCCTCGTCATGATTATTCTTCAAATAACGCTTGTCCATGTATACCATCTTAAAGATAACATACATCTATACTTAATGCAAATCCTCGACCAGTCATGTTGACGCTCGATGCCTCCAGAGATGGCCCTGTCTCCGGCTCCTCCCTACACGTGCATGAGCGTCTGCCCTCTGCGTTATGGGTGGTCGGCAGTGGCTCCTTAGCGATGCTTTGTTCTTCCTACACGTGCACGGGCTCCGCGCCCCGCGTTATGGTTAACGGGCTAACTAGGGCTGGAAACTCAGCTACATACTAACTGGTCGGGCGGTCTATATTAAGTATAAACACAAACTTCATATTAACACTGATGTTTACAAAGCACCAACTGTTTTATCACATCATGCTCATTTGCAAATGATTGCTGAGCGTTGTTTCTTCACCGCTGATTTTTTTTCTCCATAATTTATTATTTTGTACATCATGTACTACCATTCTACATATTTATCTACAGGAATTTCGAGCTATGCTCGGGGACTTCATCGCTCGCTTCTCGACCTACGCTCGGGGACTGCCTCTATCACTCTCCGACCACAGCTCGGGGACTTCGTCGCTCGCTTCTCGACCTACGCTCGGGGACTGCCTCGATCACTCTCCGACCACAGCTCGGGAACTTCGTCGCTCGCTTCTCGACCTACGCTCGGGGACTGCCTCGATCACTCTCCGACCACAGCTCGGGGACTTCGTTGCTCGCTCCTCGACCTGTGCTCGGGGACTGCCTCGATCACTCTCCGACCATAGCTCGGAGACTTTGCGTCTCAACTACATGCGACTGGCTACTCGCATACAGTTGGGATATTCTTTCTTGTTTAGACCTTGCTACAAGGCTCATACCTCGCCTTCCAGCAAGCTCGGGGACTATATCGGTACGATGTACCTGCCGGTGCATCTCGTATCGCTTGTACGATGATTGGATTCTCAACTTAACTGGGAATTCTTTTTAGACCCTGGCACCACGTGCCTACGTCACCTACTACCAGGCTCGGGGACTAAGTGGGCACACTTCACCTTGTGGTGAACGTGTTTGTTTTTCGACCCCTACGCCTCTGATGATCAAAGACGCTACGCTTCAAGACGCACTTACATTTCTTTTCAGAAATACAAGTGGGCACACTTTCTAGGACAGAAATCTTTTTCTTTCTTCTTAAGAGCACCATACATTCTTCGGACAACCTACTTCTCCGGCGACAACGGTAGTCGGGGATGTCAAAAACTCAAGCCTCACTGTTCGGAGAAGGTTAAAATGGCGTGTCGCATCAGAATACATGGCGCTCGGGGACTAGCTGTGGGAGATATACCCCCGGGTACCACAAGATGGTACATGGGCCGCACCATCCGATGTGGCCCGGCCCGTAAGATCAAGACGTACAAATCAAGATTACAAGTTGTACTAGATATTGTAATAGTATCAAATTAGATACTTTACTTGTAACCTTGTCTCTTCGGAGTATATGAGGAGAGACAAGGGTCCTCTAGAGGACAGGTTAATCTGTATACATCTCAATACAATACACCAAAGACATAGGACGTAGGGTATTACGTCGACCAGACGGCCCGAACCTGTCTAAATCGTTGTCTCTGCGCCTTGTGTCACCATCTGGTTACTGATTACACGTACCGTCTACCGATAATCTACCACCACGGGCACCCCCTCGGTGGACTGCCGACGATATTTCGTCGACAGATGGGAAGAGAAGCAACAGGGAAGATGATAATGTTGTGTTTGTGAAACCAGAGGAGAGGAGAGAATAAGACTCTGCTGGATCCATAGGAAGGAAGCAACATAAATATAAGCACGGTGCGGTGCGGGATTTTTTTATTTGCGTATTAACGTTTGTGCAGGAATTTAGTTTTATGTGAAGAAGAATCGAATTATGTCTGGATTCGTATTTGAAACCTTTAGGGCCATTCACCCTGTTATTCAGCACTATCAGTAATTTTCAGAGAGAATAGTGTTTTCATCTCACGTCAACGAACAGGGCAATTATCAGTTTTGAAAAAAAGTCCTTTCGGGAAAAAAAAAGAACTCTTGGAAAAAGAAAAGAAAATACACCTCCGATGAACACAACTGAATGAAACTCTGAACTGATGCACGCCTCCTCGACTTCCTCTCTCGGCTCTCGCAACCCTCGACCTCTTCCGCAGTTCCGCTCCCCTCCCCCCTACTCCAACTACTGGAATCGCAGATCCATCCGGTTCTGACCGATTGCTTCACCTGCTGGTGAGAAAGCCTGGCTTGCTTGGGTTGATTTTTCTGCCCCGATCCGCAGCGGCGAGCGGAGATGAACTGCGAGACCTGTCAGCTGAAGGAGCTGGTCCGATACCGATCCTAAGCCCTGCCTCGGTTTCACTACAATTCTTTTGCTTGCTTTCTTGTCGCTTATTTTGACGAATTCTTTTTATTTTATTTTATTTCCTGGTGTTTGGGCCGCAGGAGCTGGAACCGACGGAGATCAGGGATGTGCTGCGATGTGAGTGCTCAGATCTTAGTTTTTCGCATCCCTTGTCATCTCTCTATCTTCGTTGAAAGGGGTCTTTTTATTACCCCCAACAAATTGCTCTCTATTGACACGACACGGAAACCCTAATGTACTGTATTCATTCACATGCTTCTTTGTTGTTATGGTTCCAATAATTTTTGGAATAGAGTAATTTCATGTTGCAGTTTTGAAATCATGATGATGGTTAACTAGTGGATTTCACCTAGGTTTCCCCCATGAGGAAACTTAAATGCTGTATGGATGTATGGCAGTGGAAGCTTAACAAAAATTGGGCTAACAGTGGAGTTACTCTCTGCAGCAGATCATATTATTATACGACACGACACTATGTTGTGTATTTTTCACTACTTTGTTGTGCTTATCTTGGTTCCAGAGTCCTTGCTGCTGTGAGTTCTTAACCTTCGTCTATGTGCTTGAGCTCCTTCCATTCTACAGATAGTTAACCTTTATACTCGCCCTGATTATTAGTAACTGCACTCATCACATAGATGACATCATGAGATTTCTCTGGGGATCTTTATCTTTCTTAACTTCAGGTCCTTCTATTAGTAATAAGAAATTGGAGTATTTCTCTGTGTTCTTTTATACTACATAGCACCTGCTAATGGATATGGTAAATATGAACTATTTTGCAGGCATTTTGCACACCATATTCTTCCATAGAACCCTCAGCCTGGTTCGCCCCAAAGATGTTGACTGTGATTTCCTTGAGATCACTTATGTGAGTATTTCCCTGCATTAAGATCTGGGTTTGTTTCCATGGTCAAGGCACACGATGTTGTGCTTTAAGTAACTATATATTTGTATATTTACTACTTCCATTTGAAAATTATTGATGCTTTCACTTTTCACAGACTCCCAACTGCAATTTTCACCACTACTTATATTAATGGTTCTAAAGCCAGATTTTGGTTCAAGAGAAAATGTAACCTATATTTGTCAGTGACGTAACTTTTCCAAAGACCCAATAATTGGGTGTTCTAAAGTTAGTAAGTTACAAGAAGATGCGACATAGGATTATTTAAGAACATGTCTGGAACCCAAATCTGTGACTATAGTGTTTACTGGCATTTCACATATTATACGACTGTCTAGCGGTGGCAAGAATGCCTGTCTTCTCTTTCCTCGTATTATTATGGCCAATCAAATTGGTTCTGTCATTGTAATTCTTCACTTAGCTGTAGCCATGAGCCATGGTTCAGTATTACTGTTACTAATATGGAGATTAGACCTGGAAGTGGGTTAGCATCCACATCCAATCAACCCAGTTCAAAAGGAATCCAACTAGTGAGGCATGCATCCAATCCAAACCGTTGTCATGCACAGAAAATCTAGTCCAGTACCTCGTCAATCCAAATCCAATCCAATAATCATCCAAATACTTCTGTCCCCGAGGTACTCACCGTTCCAGCAGCCCATTCCAGCTTGCCGGCATCACTGACCTTGTTCAACATTGTTAGGTTAGAAGGAGTAGAAGCAAGAATCGGATCGAGAAAGGGAAGAACCCGGAAGAACATGAGGAGCAGGTGGAAGGAGGTCTGTTCTTAGAGGGGTTCAGAGTTTTGGTAATACAATTGCTACCTTTCTTGCTCACGCCTCTCCCCTTTTTCATCCGGCTCTGCCGGTGGCGTGTCCAAGCAGTACAGCTGGCTCTAGCTCCTATGGATCACGCCCATTGTGGCTCGGATACGCGAATACTTGGACGTCTGGCCTGTTTGCTGGTTCTGGCCCGGCTCAGCTCACGTGACGACGTTGTCAGGTTCCCAGCAGTAGATGTTCCTGCTTCATTCCACGTCTCCTTCAGTATGGTCACCCTCCTGGCCTCCTGGGCTGTAACAGACATCTCCAGGGACGGAGGCAGAGAAGCAGTGGGACGCCATCATGGATGTGCTTGCCATGGTGCTCGCGCAGCCTAACCAGGTGGTGTTCCAGTCCCAGACGATCCTCGCTGCACCAGCGGAGGCCAACAGCACCTTGTGCCATGAGCAACGACGATTTAAGCCGGAGCGCGTCGACGCTGTACACGGCAAAGGCGGCCAAGGTACGCAGACGTGATCCGGCAAGCTGGAGAAGCATATCACCATTCACCACACACTTATTAGGCCGCAGGCATCGCCGCAGGCATCGCCGCAGTAGCAGGAACAGCCGGAGGAAGACGATGCCACGAGCAACTGCTGGAAGCTGGAGATGCCGCGGTGGAGGTGCTGCTGCCCACCTGGGAGAGGCACCGGGAGGAGAGGGGAGAGGTCCAATGGATATTTGGATATCCAGCTCTTTCTATCCAAACCAATCCAAAGCGTTTGGATCTCATGGAAAGAATGTCCAGGCCCAAACAACATCCATCCAATTAAATCCAAAGTGGATTGAATCAATTTAGATTTTGGATGATCAAAATCCATTGTCAGGTCTAATTGAGATCTACTTTTCGGTAAACCAGAATCAAAAGGAGCTAACTGATTTTAATGTGTAGTTGTAAAATTTAGAATCAACAGAGACAAGTGATCAACAGATTAATATGTGCTGTGGGCCGCAACTCATGTTTTGTGTGTTAGAAATCCAAAGCTTACTCAAGCAGGCAGCGCTGCTCTCTCTTCCATGCCCTTTGGCACATGCTGGTCCATCCTCCATCGCCGCGGGCACAGAACCCTTGCGAAGGAAGAGAAGAGGCAGTAGATAGAAGAGTTCTCTAGAAGGAATGATGCATGACCGTGATTTACATCTTGGGAGGGAGAGAGCGCACGGGAGGGGGCGTTGTGTATACGCGGGTGGGTAAAAAATTATTCGGTGAAAAAAGACGATCTGGGGAGGGCGGAGGGAGCTGAATTGCACAGCAGGAACGCGTAAGACTCTCAATGGTGACTGTAAGCGTGTTGATGGCCCACTGACAGATTAGTCTGCACCGTTAGATTTAGAGATACCGATTGATCCGAGGGTTCTAATATAGAGTAGGTAAAAAACTTTTGGGTAAGATGTATTTTCAATTCATTCGCTCTTTTATATTATAGATATAGATTATAGATAGATAGATACACTGTATAACGTTTCAGCAAGCGTTTCAGCAAGTTGCTTTCTCTGATCAGATTCCAACTTAACCACGATGACAGATGTATTGTCCAAATATGATTACCTTGCTTGTTGCAGTCTAATAACTTTCTTTTATTTGCATTTTCTTTGCCACTGCTTACTTCGATGTTTTCATGTGTTTAGGTACAATGTGGTCTACCGGAACTAGAAAAGGAAGTTGATGAAAAGATAGACCAGTTCACTGCTTGGGTGGAGAAACACCCAAATCGCAGAAGCCAGGTCTGAACTACAACAATTAACCATTTTGATATTATGCTGCAGTTTACTTCTGTTGCTGCTGAACTATGTCATCTTTCTTCTGATTAAGATTAGTGGCTGAACTGAATATCTCAGATATGCCTCTCCTTCTTCGACGAGAAACAGACACCCAGGTTGGTTTGTCAACAAAACAGAGCGCATTTATTGGGAGCAATGGTTCATCAATTTGCATGTCATCAGCCCAAAAAGATACAGCAAGTCAAACAGCTCCAAAGGGCTGACAAACATCGGAGGTAATTTGGCTAACTAAAGTTCCATGGTCTTCGTGAGGCTGTCATAAACATATTGAATGTAGCAGTAACATTTTGTGCAATATGCTCTTAGCGAATGCCCTGGAGGAGACCAGCACAAGGCGTGCTGCATTGGAGTCATCGGTTAACGAGGTGTTATTCCAGATCATAAACTTCGCCAATGAGAAAAAGGACCACATTCCTGCCATCCCTGACAGAATTTTCAATCACGAGATCATGATCCCAAGGTGAGTCTTATATTTGATATTATCGGTCGGTCTGTGATAAGGCTCATCCTTAGTTAGCCCAAACATTTTTTTTGTTAAGATTCTCTACATATATCTCGATCTCCAGGTGACCCCTTTTCCTTGGACGTGTTGACAGCTCGGATTCTGTATTTGGATGGAACACGGATGCCATTCGCAGAGTGCTGAATAGCGGGCACCCGTACTCACTTTAGCTGAAGACGACAGCACGCTATTCTTTGTACATAAGGGTGTACCCTACTCATCTGGCTTAGGGAAAACCTAGTTTTTTACACATAATGGTGTACCCTGCTCATCTGGCTTGTAAATACTGTGTTGGGATCTTGCTCATCAGTCATATGTTCTTAAGTTTGATTAAGTTCATAAAAACAATATCTATATATTTATGCCTCCAAATATGTTTATTATATAAAAATATATTTCATGATTAAATTTAATGATACTTATTTGATATTATAAAATACTAGTATGTGTAAATAGATTTGATCAAACTTAAAATTTTTCAACTTCTTGAAAAGTGATAGTTGTATTCTTTTTGTGTCGGAGGGAGTATCATTTATGGACTTGTCTGTATATTTTTGGTTGAACAAAATGTAGCAGACTGATCTACAGATTGAAGCTTCTTCCGATTGTATAAAGTTGATATGGAATCGGGTTTTCCAAGGTTCCTCGGTCTGTGCTGTCCTGGCCCGATCCATTCATCCAGACATCTTGGAGGCCACTTGAGCTCAAAGCTGATCCCTTTGATCTTGGAGGACACTTGAGCTCAGATTCGCTTAGCTGTGTTTAGGCTTAGGGTCCCTTTGTGGAAGGCAGGATTTTCATACAAATTATGCAGGAGTTCAAGAATCCATTTACTTTTAGAAAAAATTGGTTGCAGGACATTGAAAGTGAAGTTGCTTTGTCAGCGGACATTGAAAAAAAGTTGCTTTGTTGCTGAACACTAGTTTGAGACAAATTTGCTGGAAAACAACGAAAAGTTTTTTGCCGCTGGACACTCTTTGAGCGGGTTTCACATAGCCCTGTGGCTCGAATTTTTTATTTTTAGTCTTTTTTTAAAAAAAATCATAAATATACCCCTGGAGGTATAATTTTAAAATCTAGATTCTTAGTTCGGCGCTATCGTTGCTGGCGCCGAGCTCTTGGGCTCGATGCAGACGTGACGCTGACTTGGCAGGCAGCTTGACGTCGTAGATCCTGGCGCCGTAGATCTTGGCACCGAGCTTGGCGCCAATATCTATGGCGCCGAGGTGGTGTTTTAACCCGGACCCCAACCTTCCTGTCCGAGCCTTCTTCCTCCTCTTTCTCATCCCTCTCGGGTTTTTTCTCTCCCCACTTCGCCCTACCTTATGAATCGGCATATTGGACCTTAGAAACTTTAATTTGATCTATAGATCTTCGAGAGTAAGGTATCCTCGCTCTCCTCCTTGTTTTTTTCGCATCAATTCGGTATATATTAGTCGGATTTTTCAATCTAAGAATCGTCATTACTTAGGGTTTCATGCAATTTTTAATATTTGTATTATACAACCGTAGGATGTCAAGGCGTGGAAAAGATAGTAAACCAAGGTAACCTCCTCAGTATATTGTTATGTTATGGGTTCATTGTTGTGCATCAAATGGAAAACCCTAGGTTTATGGTTTAATGTTAATTGCTTTCGGTTCTTATAATGAAATTGGTTGAAGTGTAGTTATGGCCGGATGACCGGAAATATCTTCGACCCATTGCCTCTGCCTAGTGGTGTTCCAGTGCCCATGTGTTTTTGTGGCGATCATTGCAAGGTAGACAAGTCCGATGAAGAGGACACATATAGGCAGAGGTATTGGATGTGTTTCAATTTTGCGTTTGAGCCTACACTTCGTTAGCGCCGCATTAACAAGATGGTGATGAATTGATGTTTACATCATATGACATCTTGCATGATTTTTTTTTGTTTTGTAACAATTGTATTTTTTTGCAGACCCCTCCATTGCTCTATGGTTTTAAGCAGTGGATCGACACTGAGATCAAGCCTGAAGACAAGGAATGGATGCAGAAACTGTTACGGTGGGAGGCAGAGGACAAGGAGATGATGGAGAAGAGACGCGGAGAGGAGGCTGCAAGAAAGGAGCACAAGGAAAAAGAGGAAAGGAGGCGTGTTGCTGCATACAGAGAGGAGAGGGAGAAGAAGCTTGAGCGTGCACGCCGAGTGAAAGAAGCGATGGAGGAGAACCCCGATGCCCTGACGAAGGTAAAGTGACCTCGTTGCACCCAGTAGTCTCCATGACTTGCTAGTTCTATGGTTTATTCATAGATAATGTTGTCTACTATCGGCACGTACTTCTAGTATTATTATGTTGTTTAATGTGGCATAGTATTGGACTTTTCATTATGTAGTTGTTTTCATTATTTGTAGTCATAATATTCAGTATAATATTGCGGACGTAGTGAAATGTGATCACGTGCTGCAAACAAAACCTAACGAAGTAGGACATTATATAATTCAACACACAAAACACATGAAATGGCTTGTGAGAACATGTACCGAACTAGGGTACAGAGTTCCTTCGACTAAACCTAACATGCCTTAGGTAATTAAACCAAGCAACAAACACATGGATGTGCCATGTGAATAAGATAGGGTCGTCCTAGTAGTGTGGCCACATAGCAAATTGTATTGCACCTTCTCCACAGTAGCCTCCCATTATTGGTGGTGGTGGTGGCGGCGGTGACGGCGGAGGCCCCTTGTTCTTGTGGTTAGGGCAGGTGCAATATGGATCATTACAAAGTGCCTCCTGTGAATCGGCACCATTGTTGTTGTCGTCCTATTCGTCGTCCTTGTAACGGCTGCTAACTTCTCTTTCTAGATCGAAGATACGGTCCTACAGGTAGTAGATGTACTCCGTATGCGGATAAATAGGTCGAGGATCGGCCCACCTAGTGAACCCACAGTTTTCTTCGGCCAAGGAAGACTACAATAAGTATGTCATGTAAGTTGTATAGAAGAGGAACATATTGAAGAAACAAATAGTAATAGCAATTACCCATGCTCACGGGCATTTGAAAAAACGACGACCTCCATGTATTCTCTCGGTGAACATCTGTACTAGGCAGTCCTCACCATACATGTATTTTGACCACTCTTCTTTCCGTTCATCGTATCCTCTCAGTGGTGCCTCTTTGATGAAATCACTTTTGCTCTCAACTAGGAACCTTTCATAAAGAGCTTCCTCAAAGAAATCGGGACAAAGAGAACCCTTCCACATAATGGTAGTTCCCTTCCTCTTTCCTCTCCCTCTAGACGACCCTCCAGACATTGGTACTGCAACGAAAGAAAATACTGAGGAGTGTTCTTCTTCCTTGTTGTGTGTGTGAATGAGAGGGAGTAAGGGGTTATTTATAGGTTGAGAGGAGGAATGGAGGCCTCTCAATGTGCCATGTCAGCGATCCGTGTGCCTCTTCACCTCAACCCTTGGATCAAACAATCATAAGATGGATAGTGGAGATGGAGTGGAGTTGTGCTTCATTGCATGCCTTTCTATCTTGAGCAAACCGTCATTCCTCTGTACAATTCTTCCAGAATACACATGCCACGGACGTTGGAGAGGCGGTAAGAAGCACCTGGTCAAGTTTGGGCCTAAGGCGAGCCTGGAGGGGGGGTGGGCGACTCCAGGGATCGGTCGACCCCTGGAGACACCATCCTATAGGTGTACTATGTAAGTGAAGTGATAAATCGCTGATGTCATCGTACTCCTCGTCCTTGTAACTGAAAAGTGTATTTTCATTATCTGAAAAACCTAGATTCGTTTGCTGTTACTGAAAAGCCTAGATGCTATAGATGTACTATGTAAGTGAAGTGATAAATTGTTACTGTCATCGTACTCCTCGTCTTTGTAATTGAAAAGTCTATTTTCATTGTCTGAAAAGCCTAGATTCGTTCACTATTACTAAAAAGCCTAGATTTATCTGCAAAGCATTTGTACGATACGATTGGACTATACACGTTCTAATAAATTTATATTTAATCTATGTACTACATTTGTTCCTTTTTAGTAGTATAGTATAATTAATGATTCATGGAAAAAATCGCAAGAGTTTCTCTTGTTTCAGGAGCATCCACAGTTACAAACAGATACATCATTATATAATCCAAATATTTAATCTTCTAAAGAGCACAATACAACCACATCGAACATCACAATTAACAAAACATGTCCTGCATAGTCCAAATAATCCACAATGTCCATATAGTCCCAAATAGTTATAGGAAAGTGGCTACAAAATTCATAATAGTACATACTAACATCTACCACAAATCCTCACTGCCTCGTAGTCTTACCCTTACCCTTGTGACCAAAAGCGCCGGTACCTAGAGTGTATGGGTTAGGTGGACGGCATCGTCTAGTGCCTGGAGGCTGTGTAGGTTGAGTCGAGGGAGCGTCCTAGAGATGAGAGGGGCCAAGCTCCTCGTGCCTCTGGTCCATATCGTCATCGTCCTCATCCTCGTCCTCGTCCCCTATAGGTGCATGGCTAGAGGAACCTAAGCCTCTTCTGCCTACGGAAGGAACGTACAAGTCTTGTATCGTGTCTGTCCTATAACCACAATGAGCAGTCGCACGACGTAGCTGACGTGACAGCCTCTGTTGTAAAAAATTATGTTAACTGAAAGAATCTAATGTATTAATAATATGTTTGAAAGAATATTTTGAATCTTATGTCTAAGTAGCTACGCGTGTCGTCGTCCCTGACTCTCGGATGAAAGCGCTCAATGTCTTCAATAGAGCATTTGAGGGTATTGCCCTGCAACAAAGTTCTCAGTAATAATACTTCTGAACAAATAGCAACATGTTTTGTTTTTTTTGTACAAAAATCTAACGTATTATAAGGATGCTACGGCTCGAAGGTGGCACTAACTAAAATAGATACCTCTAACGCGTAATGTATTGGTATACAACTTAACGTAGAAAAATAAGGCAATTGACTTACCACTCTGTTCAAGATTGGTCCTGCCTCCACCTGCCTTCCTGCAAGAGTAGATTGGTCGTACACCGTGTCTTCATCGTCGGAGGAGTCGATGTCAGAGGAGTAATCTTCTGTCCACTGTAGCCTCAGCCTGCAATGTGTCACACGTTGGTACCAAGCTTGGTACCACCTGAACTCATGGTTCGTGTGCGGCTCGTTGTTCTCATCCACGTTGTCGTGCATCTGCTCCCATTGCTCAATGTAGTACTGGTGGTGCTTCTCCCAGTCAAAAATCTTTCTGTTCTTCTGACGATCCAACCAGCACGTATGTCATCATTACTTGAATCCATGTATATGTCACCATATTAATAGAAATGGACCATCACGAGACATTTGAAATAGTAAAACACTTACTTGTGTAAGTCAACGTCAGTCGAGAACGGAGCCATTGGCCAAAGCTGTCTCACTCCAAATTAGCGTGCAACTCTATCTGGCAGGTGGAACTTGACAGCATAGAAACAGATTAGAGGGCACCTCATCCTATAGAAGTCGTCGTCGCACCCACACATGTTGCTCAAATGAAAAGGAAGTGCCCCCTCTCTATCATACAGCTCCCACGACACCTGCAACATGTCCAAACAAGATGTTAGATGGTATACTAAACCATTTCAAACCAGCATGGGAAATAAAATTTACTTACACTAGACACCGTGAGCGTGTCTAGCTCTTTCGTGAACTCAATGTACGCCCACTGTAACCTCACGTGAGGAACCCTAACCTGGTCCCAAAGTGTCGGATACCACAAGAAGGGGTACCCTAAGC